GTTCTTGGAATACCATTCCAAAAACTTTACACATAACGACGAGTGTAAAAATGTTGTCACGTTTCAAAATTAACACTCAAGTGCTGCCCCGTAATCATCTCAAAGCATATCATCGTACATATGATATCATAGGCTACCCTTCCATTTCTGCTGACTCACTCTCGTCTCGCACTGAAGATCTATGCAAAGTGAGACCTGGACTGCACGCACGTTTGAAAATGATCGGGAAATTCAAATCTGGTATCGGGTAATACACTGCCTTATCGCCTGTGCCAGATCCGAAGTAGTTAACGGTCCACGGACTGCCAGAGAGGAAGTTGGACTCGTTCGTTGGGAGCGTTCTGTTCTCCTACAGGCAATTAATACGGTAATCATGGAAATTCACGCAGTAATTGTCAAACAAAGAAAATGGGCAGCAGAATTTCCTCTTTTTCTTCTTCCAAACTCTCTGACTCGGTCCCTCTCTCTGAGAGAGAGAGAGAGAGAGGGGGGAGGATCTCTCCCTCTCCTTTCTTTGGCTCCAAACTTGGACTGCATAAAAAATAATAATAATTTCAGTTTGAAAAGAAAATAGAAGCAAATCAGGGGCTGGAGGCAAGGGGCCGACAAGGGGGAACAGCAGCAAAAGCCATAGAAAGTATTCCTCTATTGTGCGTGCGTGCATGAGTGTGTGTGTGTGGGATGTTGTAATGTGCGTGCGCCGCGCTGCCGCTGTCGCGACGGCGACGTCGACGTCGACGCACGCTCCCGCATAACAGGCGTCGAGCGCGCTCGCTCACGCACTCTCTCTCCCTCTCCTTCCCGCTCTTTGTGTCGCTTTGTTGCTCTATCGCTCTGGCGGAGTGCGTGTGTGCGTGCGGTGCGAGTTGAATGACCGCCGAAAATAAATTTTTTTTGTTTGTCGATTTTAGACTTTTACTATGTTGACGCCGACGCTGGCGATGATGATTGTGTGTGCTTTTGCCGCTGCCAGACCATGCACACACACACGCACACACACACACACAGACAACAATTTTGTAGCTTCATAGTTTTCGAGTGTTAACGGGCGTTCGCACTATCTCGCCGGGTCTCTAGGCGGGGAGATGTTGGTTGGGGAGGGGCGGCAGGGCTTGGGCCAGCATGGGGCGCTGCCAGAGCGGGTATGTGTGTGTGTGTGCGTGCGTATGCCTAGACTACACAATCAGCAGCAGAGGCAGGCCGCAGCGACAGCAACATTTCACTTTAACAAAACTTTTTCGGTCTCTCTTTTTTTGAATATTTCATTGTTGCTTCTCCTCTCCATCTCTCTTTCTGCTGTTCCGCCTTGCACTGCTCTTGCTCCCCCCCCCCCAAGGGCCCCAGCCAGCGTCATCGCTCCGACGCTTTCGTTGTCAACTCTTTCGCTTTTTAAATTTTGTATTTTGTATTTTGTATTTTTCGGCTGCTTTCTGTTTACGCCGCAAATTTCTTTCACTCTCTGCGTACATTTCTATCTGCTTCACCTTTTTCTTCCTCTTTTTTCGAGAGACATTGCTAACCAAAGGGAGAAAATAAACGCGAGGAGAAAAAGTGAAAATTTCAATAACGGAATAAAAGTTGATTTGCGGAAGTCATAAAGCCAAATTGCATGCCGAAAGTAACAGTAACAGTAACAGTAACAGTAACAGTAACAGTAACAGTGACCGATTCACCCTCTGACAACCCCGTGGGTTGCCTTCATTTCTTGCACGCAACTCTGTCAGAGGGGGGCGATGAGGGGGGGAGAGATTCCTGTCGCGATTAAGATTTATGTATGTTAGAAATAATACCTCCAGCAATCCTGACTAAAATGTTAATTGCTTATCAGATCCTGGCGGTGACCCTTTAAGGGTTCAGGGAACTCAAATTAGTTTGTACCTAAAATATACACATTTATATGTACGATTATAATATCACAAAAGCGAAAGCAACCCTAATAAAATATAGGTAATTTGGAAGGAGATTCTATGAAAAAATCATAGCGGAACTTTTACATTAAAAGTCAATCAAATTTGATTTCCATATCATAGTTTTATCGCAATAATATTTTCCAAGTTTATTGAAAGTTAACTAATTTACCAAATTGACATTTAATTGCAGTAACTTTGATCTGAAAACATAATCAACAAAGCCAAAGTTCACTTTTTCGATAATGTTTGGTATTTTTATAGTTATATTTCCCTTTACTATTATCTCTTACAAGAAAGATGATTCTTGATAAAAGTTTTAACTCAAAGTTCTTCTAACATATTGAATTATAGAAAAAAAAAACCAGATAATTGCCCAATTTTGACTTTTGGCAGATTTTCAAACTTTTAATTGAATTTAATTGAAAAAAATAGGAAGGTTTTTTTTTTATTTTTAAGAACTAGGAAAATTAGCGCTAGAAAGAGTTCTGCAATTTTGTCCCCAACCTCAAAAACCACTCCTTTTTTTGTAACGTCTAACATTGCGTCATATTTTGGCTTATATCTTATACCGTACGTTCGATTATTATCATTTTTTTTACCTAAATACTTTTTAAATAAAATTTCAGAATGGAATCGAAATGGAATAGCCCATATTTGAAATACCTAAACGCATATTATGGGCTATATACCCATTCGAAATGGAGGTTTATTATTCATTTGAAGAGCCATGCGAATAGCTTTATAAATATCTTCAAAGTAAATATAATAAATAAATATAAATTAGAAAAGATCTTCCTGAAAGGGTAGCAATAGCTGGATTCATTGCATAAATCAAAATGAATACAACATGGTTATATCTCCTTGAGCATCTAAATCTCAGAGTAATGTTTTATTTAATTGCTTGTCAAATAAATGTAGCATCAATTGCTGTTTATGAAAGAAGCAAGTGCTTACTTTCCTTCTTAGACAAAAATAGACTTCATTCAATTGTGGATTGTAAGAAATGGAAACCTGGCCGAAAAATGTGCAACACAATGGAATACACTCATCGCCAGCTAGACATAAAAACACCCACATACATCCATACATACTTACATATGTGCATAGATAATGTACATATGTGTGTGTGTATGTATGTAAATACTCATACGGCTTGTTGAAATGTTGTTGGCATTACAATATCGCATTTATTTTTTATGGCCAGCGCGCGAGCTTTAATTCGCAAGTTTCTTTTCCATTTTGTTTTATTATTCTTTTTTTGTGAATCTCTTTATTGCTCGCATATTTTTTGTTACATATACAATTTGTATCTTTGTATATTTTGGTCGAGCGAAAGGGTCGCCTCGTTCGCTGTCTCTTTCTCTATCTGGCTGCCTGATTTCAAATTAGTTGAATTGTCAATGCAAAAAAAAAATCAACAACAAAAACCACACATATGTGCACGCATACACCTATGCAAAATACATATGCGTGTGTGGCCGTCTGTGAGTGTGTTTCGTAATGTTTCATTTGGCCGTTGTGTTTTTGTTATTGCGTCTTTCTTCATTTACGAATTTCATGGATTTCCCTAAAATAAGTTTTGTTGCTTTTTCTGCTGTGGTTGTTGCCTTTGCCTTCGCCTTTGCTGTTATTGTTGTTGTTGTTGAGAAACCCAAGTGACTTTCACTGCCAAACAACATCATCAGCGGCAGCGGCAGTGCCAGAGACAGAGGCAGCAATCCATTCCGGGACCAACTGACTGAGTGACTGACTGACTCCGCAATTCCACAGCTCTGCCACATAAAACTTCGCACTTAACTGAATTTCATTAAATTACAATTTTTAATTTTTTTTTTTTCTTTTTTACTATTTTGTGCAATTTTTCCATTCCTTTTTTGTGGAAAGAAAAATCACAAATAACTTTTAAAGTGTAATAATAGTAGCTCATTATTTAATGGAGTTCCTTGAGGAGTTCTTGGCGCCACATATGTATGAAATCCTTATTTTATTAAAGCTTTCATAACATTTGCTAATTTTGTGGTCTTGGGTTAAAGTTTCTTAAATCTTTGAGATGCTTGGTATATTTCTTGCTAATAAATCTCCAACAAATCTTCAGCATATAATCTTAAAGATAGTAACTATTTCTTTGGAATTTCAAAACATTTGATTGCAAATCCATAAGCTCTTAATCAACAATTAAATTGGTATTTATCAAGTTTTTTTGTGCAAGATTTATTCTTGACGTTTTCCTACCAACTTATTCTAGAGCGGTGTAATGGGATAATGGTGTAAATGGGGGGGTCTTGGTTTACCTTTGATGGAACCGCTTGAATTGTTTTGTCCCGCCGGCGACTGGACGTTGCTTTGACCGAGGTTGTTGGCGTGTGCTTCCAGTTTCGAAGTGACGCTGCTCCACATGTCAAACATCCGTTGCGTATACATAATTATTAGTGAGAAATGCGAAATGCGAAGCTTTGGTGACGTTTGTAGTGCGTGTCTATTGCTGTTGCTCTTCCTGTATCTGATGTTGCAGTTGCCGTTGATTGGCAAAGTATTATGTACACTCTGAGTGGGTTGTTGCAGCCTCTGATGTACTCAGCCACGCGCTCATGCCGCACGCCTCGTGGGGGGGGGCGTATGCGCAATCTGTATGCTTGAATTAGATGCTCGTTTACGTTTAGTTTAGCTTTAGCTCTACTTGTGTAAATGTGTAAAACGTTGTATACAGGACTCAGTATGTAGCTGCCCTTCGGTTGTGATTTCTGTAAGCCAACTTCTTATTGCACTTGGTCGTCCTCTTGTCTACTATCCGCTGCTCGTTTCCATATAAGTATGTATATTTTACGAATGAATTTGCTTCGATTTTCGCCTTCCGTGTGAATCAAGAACTATCACAGTGTGTGGGTGTTTATGAGACAGTGGGGTTGTGAGAGGGGGGATGGGGGGCTGCCAATCAATTTAGGTATGTATATGTATATAATATGTATATATGTATATGGTGTATATTGCTATAGATGTATACTATATAATGATCTAACGTTGTCAGGCCTGTAGGTACTAAATTGTTGATGTTGCTGGATCTGGTTATATAATGTTATATATTGTTGCTTGTTTGTTTGTTTGTTTTTTTTTTGTTTTTGTTTTAACTATTTATTAATAAGACACTTGTTCGCGTATGTTTTAGCTTGTTTTTGTTGTATTTTTAAAGCGATTTATCAATGATTTCTTGTTTAATTGTTCAACCATTGGCTCAACCCTTTTGCAGAATATGCAGATTGTTGCTGCTGCTGTTCGTAGTGCTGCTGCTGCTGTTGTTGCTGCTGCTGCCGCGAGAGTTTTTGTTTTTTCCTGCTTCGGGCAGGGGCAGTGTCAGGGGCAGGGGCAGGGGCTGCCTCGGCTGCTGCTGCTGCTTTATCACTTTCACTGCGCTGTTGTTGTTGTTGGTGTTGGTGTTGCTGTTGTTGCCGCTTCTCCGGTTGCAGCGATTTTTGTGGTTGCTGGTTATTGTCTCTTTGCTGCCGCCGCTATTGTTGTTGCTATGCTGACTGTTTTGTCGATTTCTCTGTTTCGCTTGATTCCAAATCAAAATTTCCAAAAATACGAAAATCTCACGACAATTGATTCCGGAAGACATTTAGGCGCAGCGCACTCGTTTCCCCTCTGAACGGCCTGGTCTATGTCGTCAGTTTGAACACCTTGATGTACAGAATGGCTTGGCCAGTCATGTGAATACTTTTGCTACGCACTTTCAGCCAGGGCCAGGTCCTGGCACTCAGCATATTGCTCGGGAGCGGGGTGTCGTCTACGGGTAAATACAGGGTATCACAGTGGCAATTACATACATATCTATCGATTGTGGGTCGATCAAGGGACTGACACGGGTCGTTCATCGATGCGCGCGCGCCTCTGCGTGTGTGTCGATCCGAATTTCGCTTTAATTTCCCAACATCACGAGGAACAGGAACTGGGCCGACCACGACCACCCCCTCTAAAGCCCCTCCTATGGCCCTCCCCTTGGGGTTGGCAACTACTGCGCCCCTGCGCCCCTTCTGGCGGTGATTATCCCACAACATGAGCATGGAAAATCGATAGAGAAATGGGATTTAAGGGTGCCCCCAGACAGACGAGAGGGTTGGGCGTGGGTGTGTGGGTGTGTGGGTGGGGGGTGGGTGCCCTATGTTGGGGCAAACAGGCAAAAAAATAAAAAGGCACGCTGCCGCTGAGTGCAACGCGAGTGAGCGCCACAGAAACGAGCGCATAAATCTCATCGTCAGTTGTGGGTGTGTTCGTGTATGTGTGTGTTTGGGCTTGGGTGTGTGTGTGTGAACATAGAAAAAAGTTCTATGACCCAAACACACACAAGCACACAGGCACACACGTAGACAGAAAAACACAAACGAGCCGGCAAACCCAATGAATATGAAAACATTTTACTTTTCCCCCGCTCTCTCTTTCTCTCTCTCTCTCTCTCTCTGTCTCTGGCCTGCCTCTCTGTCGGCTGGTTACACGAACACGAGTGGGTGAAGCGGTGCGGCGCGGGGATGGCGATTACTTTGTTGGAGGCTTGGGGTGGCTTTGGGTGGCCATGCGGAAGCCCCCGGCAGACATATAAAATACGTCACCAAAGCGACAGCCAGCCCCCAGCAACAGCAACAACAGCAACAACAACAACAACACAGAAATTGTGCCAGCTCACAGAACGAGAGCGGGACAGAGAGATAGCGAGAGAGAGGGAGAGAGCGAGAGATATTTACATACAGACAGAACGCAATGAAAAGAAGAAAGGCTGAAAAGAAAATGAAAATGAATAGTCGCACACAGCCGGAGAGGCGAAATACGGCAGCGGCAGCGGCAGCGGCAGTAAAACAGTTAAAATGAAAAATTCTCTCGCAGCGACGACAACGAACTTACTAACGGTACCCCCAAGCTAACGAGCCGGTCAAGCCGATGATGATAATGACGATGGCGATGATGATGGTGGAAAGCGGAGAGCGGGCTAACGGGTGAGAAAGTAGTGTAAGAGAGAGAGAGAGAGAGAGCGCGCTCTCGCGAGGGGGAGGAAGAGGCCCGGCCGAAGGCGGTTACAGTTACAACAGAGCGACAGAAAAGCAGACGACAAACTTTACATGGCATCGCAGTCGGCGTCGCTGTCGCTGTCGCTGTTGATTCTACTTCTGCTGCTGCTGCTGCTGTTGCTGTTGCCGTCGCAGTACGTTGACGCCGACGAAAAAGACCAATGACCTATGGGTGGGCTCCGCTGCTCCCGCCGCCTCCCTTCCCGTCTCCACCCCAGATCTGCTTAGGCTGTTTTCCGCTTCTAGCTGTTGGGCGGCAGTCTGGGGTGGCACACTTATACCCGACGACACGACACATGGAGTGCTGGTCTGTGTGTGTGTGTTCTACTAACGGTAATGCAAACAGTTGGCGCTGCCAAGAGGGGAGCGGTAATAGGAATGGGAACGGGAAGGGGAACGGGAACGGGGATTTCGGTGTGGAAGTGGATGTAGGTGGGTGGGTGGGTGGCTAGGCCTCACGATGATGATGGGGGAGCAGGGACCCCAGCGACGACCGACTTTGCTCTGCTCTGAACTCTGGGCCGCAGTGACTTACTGCCAACTGCTGCTGCCGCCTACTTGCAACTGCTGCCACTGCTGCAACAATAACAATTGTTGATAATCATAATGCTGCACAATGGGAAAAGCAGCAACTACAAAGGGAAAACTAGAAAAGCTCCACTAGAAAAGGGCATCTCGTGCATTTGGGTTCCTCCGGTTCGGGGATCTCCGGAGAGGGGGCCCACGGAGTGGGCAAGACAATGGGCCGCACTATGAAAGATTACAGGAAAACTTAAGCTGACAGTTTTGCCTGCTAGAGCATGAGGAGGCCTGGAGAGGGGGAGGCATCTATCTGCCCAAATTCTTCCCCCTTAACCCACAACGCGGGATCCCCAATCTGCTTCGATCGTATGGGTGAGTATATCCAAAGTGGTCCGATTAGAGGCCAATTGATTATTCCAATAAATTATCCAATTTGTTGTGCCGATGGGGGCCTTGTTCCTTGGGTTCCGATGGGCAGTTTTCATTTCTGTTAATTTTCATTTAATTTGATATTTTTATATCCTTTTCGCACACACAAACACGGAGGCACACACACACACGCAGACGCGTGCATCGATCGATCGCACACATACACTGAAATTTGCGTTGTTTTTGTTACACAATCGAATCCGTGTGTCCGCCGAGGGGGGTCGGCGTGGGCTTGGCGGGCGACAAGGGCCGCGCTTTTGCATTCCTCTCCTCCGCTCGGAGTCTGGAGTATTACGTCACTGGCACTTCCGTCGCTAACGGGACAGAGGTAAAGGCAGGGGGGGGCCGCATTGCAGTTGCAGTTGCATTTTGGTTTTGGTTTTGGTTTTTATTAGGCACGATTTGGAATTTGAATGCACTCGATATTGATTGATATATACTCTATCGCTATCTCGCTCGCTCTATCTCTCTCTTTTTCACCCGATATATATTTATTCTATGATTTTGTTTTGATCTGAAACCGAACGAACTTCCACAGAGTTGCAGATTCGTTTATCTGCTGCTGTTGCAATATTCCAATATTCCTGCTGCCGTCGCCGTTGCCGTTGCCGATGTTGCACTTTGGCTAGACACACACAAACACACACACACGAGCAGGCACGCAGTGGCAGTGGCAGTGGCAGAGAGGGGGCGCGCGCGTTAATTTCGTGGCTTTCGGTGCTTTTTGGAGCCACTGGAGCCGCTTGTAACCGTTGGCGGCGGAAAAACGCATAGACCCACGGATAGACGGACACGCACGCACACGGATTCACGCACACGGATACGGATACGCGGGCAGTCACCGGCTGATGGGAAATAATACAGAGTAAACAGCAACAACAAATAATTAATAATAAAGATACAACGCGCTGCGCATCGTAACCCGCCGCCGCATTCGCTCGATTCAAAGTGTAGCCGAAGAGTGCCTGCCGTGCCTCAAAATGTTATCGAGTTCGTTGTCGTCCGTACGGTACGGCGGCAGCGCTGCCGCAGAGCCAGTGGCAGCCAGCAGCCAGCAGCCAGCAGCGAGCGTCGCAATGCGGTGTGTGGCAGCAGAGAGCGCCGGAGAGCGGCAGAGCGGCAGAGAGGCAGAGAGAGAGAGAGAGAGTTCACGGCAGCGGGGCAGGCAGCCCCCAAAGCAGCGCTGCCTGCTGAGTGGGTATATGTGTCTCTGTGCCGATGACTTCTTCAGTCTGCCTCTGCCTCCACCTCCGCCTCCGCCACCGCCACCGCCTCTGCCCCTGGCCCACGTCCCCTCCTGCTGCTGACGCCCCACCAGCTTTTTTCTGTTGTCAGCATTCCGCTTTGGGCCGTTCATTCGCTATGGCAACCAACAACCAATCGCTCCGAGGCCCCAACACTCCAAAAAGTTGCCCAGAGAGCGGCAATCAGCTGTTGCCGTTTGGCTCTCTTAAAACGAGCCATTCTCCTCTCTTTGCCCAAAGAGAGTGCTAGAAAAGCAGTGAGAGAGAGAGAGAGGGAGCTTTTGGAAAAGCTGGCGCTGTTTTTCCGTTTCCTTTTCGCATTTCCCGGTCGGTCCCATCAGGCCTCTGCCTCTGCCTCCCGCAATTAGCAGGTCAATTGCTTTTTAGGGCAAAATGTGTGCACTGCAGTTGACTTATTCGCCAGAAAGCAGTCGGCAGCATTTAAATACAGTCCCCCATGACCTACCACCCCCCCACCCTACTATCCTTTAGCCGTCTTAAGTGGATATTGGCCATAAACACATTATATATTCTATTGTACATACATATAGTGTATTTATTAATTTTATAAATATTAAAGATCGCTTAAAAAGCCACCCATCAGCAGTCAAGGTGAACTGCAGCCAATTAAAAATGTTAAAATTAGTTTAAACATTTGGCAATTTGCTTTCGAAGTTTGCCAAAAAATATATAAAAGCCAAAATGAAAAATAAGATTCCATGTAAATGTTGAAAACCGAAACTTCGCGCTCAGGCCATAAATTAATATTTCATTTGTTAATTTATGGATTTTCGATGCTGGGCCATTAGCTCTGAAACTATCTCCCAGATCCGCAGCGACGATCGTGTGTGTGCAGCATAATTCGCATTTTGCATAGACGCCAAAGAGATGGGCGCTAGCCTATTGGCTAGCCAATTGGCGGGGGATTACGACATCGCCCTGGCCCGAGCAGCCCCAGTCCCAGCCCCAGTCCCAGTCCCGACGAAGTTTGGCAAAATCCGAAATATGATAATGAAACTTCGCCACGCTCGATCGGAGGCGAAGGCAGCCTCATGCGGCGCTGACCTGGCTAATGGTAGGGTCGGGGCAGAAGATTCATGCGTGAAATGCAAAGCGTTGTTCAACCAAAAATTATAATGAACCTGACTCCAATTCATAGGGGGATTACAACAATAACCGTCGATATATATACATATGTATGTGCACAAGATTGTGCACAAAAAGTGATAGTGACAAGATATATCTCGTAATCTTTCCGTTGCGACATCTTCGACGACATCGACAGACGACCGCAAAGTCCATCGACCACGTTCAGGGTCGCCGCCGTCGTCGTCGCCGCCGTAGCCCCATCCGCAAAAAGGTTCGGATTAGGAAAACCTCTTTTTATGCACCTTTTTGCCAACCATTATTATGTGGGCTAATCATTGTCAAATGTGCACGTGACTGGTGGATGACCCAAACGAGTTTCGTGGGAGACTAGAGCATATGAATCATATTTGGAATGGGAAACTTGTTTCATTTAAAGCAATATTTAAACTAATAAAAGATTATAGTGCCAGGAGGACTTTTGAGAATGATTGAGAAAGATATTCAGTTTGTTCTTGATTTCGCTTTCGCATCGAAAAAAAGATCTTCATTTTGTAAAATTATACCAATCGCTGGAATACTTTCACATATAATGAGGCTTAAGGAACTCAAGAGAGAGCATTGAACGGGAGACACTTGCTTCTGGGCTTGGTTCTACTTGGTCCAGTTGGGACGGCAATTAGGTAACATTTGATGTCGATCGCTCATCAATCACGGGGCCGAGCAGGGCCGACATCCAGCCACCGCCCCCCGGCAGGCTAATGAGTACGGCCGCCCTGAGCAGAAACTATCAACAAAAACAAAAACTATAAAATATAGATCAATCTTGGCCGACTGACTGTGGGGCTTCTGCAGGGGAAGTCGTGTCAGTGCCTGACACTCATTTGTAGCCATGAAGTGAGCAGAACCGAGCAGCTCTGGGCCCTGGGGCTATGCCAAATCAATTTTTCTTTCAGCTTAGCTGGAAAAGCTAACCTCCCCCCACCGCGCCCCCAGTCAATCGTCCCTTCAAGCTTGAGTGCCTACAGATGTTGATTCTATTATGTTTTAGCTTGGTTTTGAGCCTCCTCCTCTCTCTCTCTCTCTCTGTCTCTCTTTCTGTGCTTAGGCTCCATTCAGCTAACTGTATAGTTTGTAGTTGACGCTTTTACCGCTAGAGTTCGAGCTACGGTAAAAATATGAGCCAAGAAGAAGAGCCAGCAAGAACAGCAACAGCAGCAGCAGAGTCTTGGCCATGTTGCTGGCTCATTCGAGCCGAGCAGCAGTAAAGCGAATATGCCGGGGCAGCGCGAGTCGCAAAAAACAGGCAGAACGGCAGAGCGGCAGCGGGGAAGGCAAGGAGAGACAGAAACAGCTAACAGAAACAGAACCTAATGGCAAAGAACACCTAGACATGGCCGGAGCGAGTGAGGCTTATTTAGTATGTCAAAACATGTTCTTGTTGCTGTTGGTTGTTGGCTGTGGAAAGTGGGACACTTGCCTCTGCCACTGGCGCTGCCTCTGCCTCTGCCTCGGCCGGGGCTGCTGCTGCTGCAGCCACACAAAGGTGAATAGCCAATAAATCGAGGCTTGTAAATTGAAATTCTTTTTAGCATGGGGTGTGTACACGTACACCTGTTGTTGCCGCTGCCGCTGCCACTGCCGCTGCCACTGCCGCTGCCACTGCTGGAGCTGCTGATGTGTCAGCCTGTTAATTGCTGCTGAGGATGCTTGCGCAATGGGCGTTCATTTGCATAGCTTGAATTTTTTGGATTTTTTTGATTCTTACGAGTAGGTTCTGGGATTCATGCGTAAGGGAAACCACGAATGGGCCATTGTTCACTCGGGGAGCTCCTACTGTGGCTCATTGCCGACTCCCTTCAGAGAGTAACCACCCGACCCTTTCACACTCATTCAAAGAAGACACCGAGGAAGGATCCTACACGGTCAAGGGTTTCTACATATGAAATGGGTTTACGGGCACCGACGGTTTCTCAAACTTTTACGAATTTTTCGAATACCTAACTATGACATGAAGCTAAGATAAACTCCCAACATTATTTGACCAAAGACAAATATATACATAGATAGATAGATGAGTAAGGTCCATAAATTTAAAGGGTATACATTTGTTTTGAAAGTGGTTTTAGAAGGCCATAAGGGTAATCCTCTGCTCTTAGTCCATTGTTCTGACTCTTTGCAATTATAAGTCTTAAAATTCCAAGCAGAAGTTAGGCTATTAAATAATTTAAGCGAAGCTGCACAAGGATGAGTCCATATGTGGGAAAAAGATGGATTCTCATTAGACTGCATTACGGAGGGATTAAACCACTACTCCAGTGGGCTTAAGTCGAGTTGAGTGGCTGTCAAGTGGCAGCGGAATGAATGGCTATTAATCGGATATCGGATTTACCTGTCATGGCATTGCTGCTGGTGCTGCTGCTGCTGCCGTGGCTCTCTCTGGCCGATGTGGCAGATGTGGCAGATGTTCCCTGTGCTGTCGTTGCAGCGGGCTTCTGTGCGATGAGCAGCGACATTGGCGGTGGCGTTCGCTCCTTGGGCCGGTCCCGCCCCTTGGGATGCTGGTTGCTGATGATGACGGGATTGCTGATGGTGCTCTCGCTGGTGTTGCTGGTCATGGTCTTGCAGACGGAGCTGATGTTGCTGATGCTGCTGAAGCTGCTCAGGCTGCTGAAGCTGCTCGACCTGGCCAGGGCCGGGGGCTCAGACATGTACTTGAGCTGCGTTCGCGCCGGCTGCTGCCTGGCCACTCTCTTGGGGGCCGGCGGCTCCTGGTCCGTCTCATCGTCCGCCTCGAGCTCAGCCTGCAGCTCCGCCTCCAGCTCCAGCTCCGTATCCGTATCGGGCTGGACCGTGGCTATGATGGTGCCGTCCTCATTGGTCTGCTCGAAGCACACATCCAGCAGCGTGGCCCCGCTGCCCGCCTGAAGGCCGGCAATGTCCTTGAGGTCGATCCAGCTGGCCCCCAGCTTGTCGGCATCGCTAAGGGGCAGGCTGAGCACCCGCGTATCGCCCTCGTCCACGATGTGGAAGGCCTGGGTCGGCTCGATCTTCACGATGATGGGCTGGTTGGCCAGGATCTGGGCCGGCGGCGCGCTCCCCAGCAGGTTGGCCATGTTCTCCTCCTCCTCGTCGGCGGCCTCCAGTTCGCTCAGCTGCTGTTCTATCTGCAGGTACGTGGCGCTGGTGGTGCTCGTGGAGCTGCTGGTGGTGGTGCTGGTGGTGGCCACCGAGTGCTTCAGCATGTCCAGCTTCAGCACGGTGCACTTGTCGGTCTGCTGGTACTGGTGCTGCTGCTGCGGTCGTTGCAGGATCGCCAGTGCGGGAGTGGCGGCAGCTCCGGAGCCACCTGCATCCGAGAGGAAGGCCAGAGGCGGAGATGTGGCTGTGGCCTTGTTGGAGGTGCTGCGAACATGCGTTAGCTGCGGCGGCTGGGTGGTCTGGCTGGTCTGGGTTGCCGGGCCACTTCTGGTCACGATCGTGGTGGACACCGGCAGCGGGATTATCGATATGGAGGGCACCTTGCTGCGCAGGCTCGCCACGGCAGCGGCGGTGGCGGCGTCCGCATCGATGTACGTGTGGCTGCCACCGGGCGAGGCCCTGTTGCTGTTGTTGCTGCTGCTGCTGCTGCTGTTGTTGCTGCCTGCGGGCTTGGCCTGCTGAATCAGCAGGAGATCTCGGGGCCTATCCGTCGTGGCGGCTGTTTGGAGCAACTGTACGGAGAGTCTTGCTGGTCGCTTGCCCCTCTTTTTGGGTCCTAACGCCTCTTAACGCTTAAACACTTTCACTTGCCTCATTGCTCGTAGTTTGATTTCGTTTATTGTTTGATTGCTGCCTGGCTTGCGGTATTTTGGGTGTAGAAGCACAACATCGAAATAAGTAAATTCAAAATCAGCCTTACGAAAGTGCACTTAAAATTGTCTACTAAACATACATTATTTTCTTCACATTTCCCTTCGCGCGATTGCTTGTCAAATGGTGTAGATACCGGGGGGGTTTGGGGATACTGGGGACTCGGAAGGACCTGTGGGGGGGGGGGCTGCCTAATGCACCTGTGCGTTTCGTTTCGTATCGTTTCGTATCGTTTCTTGTCGATTCGATTCGTTCCTTTGGGCTCGCTCAACGTGACCCCTGGGCCTGGGCCGAGGCTTCTTTGTGCGATAGACGCGATAGTTCCGATGCCGATTGATGAACTAGTCGGTTTGATTAACTGGTATGTCTTTGTTTCTCTCACTGTCGATTGTGTCTTTAAATACAACTAATGGATTTTCCTTTTGGCCACAATATGCTGCCGCTTCTGGGCTATTGTGCAGCGATTGTTGCTGCTGTTGCTGCTGTTGCTGCTGTTGCTGTGTATCTGTGGCTGTGCCTGTATCTGTATCCGTAGTCGCGGCTGCTTGTAGTCGTTGTCGTTCGCGTCCTCGTTGTTGTCATCCTCGCTTTCGTATCCTGCTGCTGCTGCACATGCAACGAGGAGCTGCTGGATGGCTGCAAGCCTGCGCTGCAGCATTCGGTGGAACCAGCGCCATTGGAACTCGCCGACGTCAAATCAGTTGGAAGTGTGTCTCTGCCAGCGCTGCTGCTCTTGCCTCTGTTTATTTCCCACATTGCGGCACGCAATCACCACCCACCACCCACCATGCACCCGCACCCGCACCCACACACACACACACCACCAGCCGCCCCACCATCAGAGGCAGCGGCAACAACGACAACCACCAGCTGCTGGCGAGTGGAAAGTGGCTTGCCAGTGGCTTTAATAATCGATTTTTCAGCGGCGGGCACACATGCAAATCGATACGATCCGGGGAGGGGGCCTCCTGCAGGGCTCTGCTTTCCCTTTTCCTCGACTCCTCCGGATGCACGGACTGTTTTCAACGTTCTCGAAACACTTTCACACCTACTCGTATGCAAAGGTCTCACAATTCAATTGTTTTCCATTTTTCCCACTTGCCGTAATTCACTTTCAAGGAATCAACATGTCACGGTTGTATCCCTTTTCACTTTTTTCCCGAATTTTCTTTGGTTCTCGCTGGGAAATTTGCAAATTTTCACTGATTGGATGAGTCGCGCGCGCGTTTTGTGGCTTCTGGTTGCAGGTGCACTCCTCGGACTGGAGCAGCAGTTGGTAGCAGCTGACCGAAGCTGCGTCCTTTGCAGGAATGTGTCCCAAATTCGAGTGCCACAAACACATTTCCTGCTGCCGCTGCCGCTGCTGCTGCCGCTGCACAAACTTTCCGTTTCGTGGGGTTGCTTCCTCCGCCAGTGGCAGAGGCAGTGGCCAGGCTTGGAAGAGGAGGTGGCCGGGCTAGCGCACACACACTCGCGCACTCCGCTGGGAAAATCGCATTCCACACCAATTCCACACACACATGCAGCGGAAAAATGGGACTCGCTGCTGCGAGCCGCCGCGAAATAGGGTTAGTAGGCATAATGCCAAGTGCATAGCCGGGAAAACTGGAAGCGGACACGAGTCGATACGCACTCGGCATTGCTGCGCAGCCTTTTCCACCCCTAAGCGCCGCTCTCTCCGTGTCGGCTGGGAAATTCCCACCGAGGTGGAAATCTGTTATAGGGAAATTTTTAGCCCGCCTGGGGGTGGCAGTGTACAGGGCGGGAAGTTTGAATTCATTCTGTATGACATCTATGATATGATATGAGAATCTGGGAAAGCATAAGAGATTCGATCCACAAGGAGTCATGGCCAGTCATGGTTTGATTCTTGACTAAAGGCGCTCAAAGGTTCAGGGGTCTTAGGGGTCTGAACAATACACAGTAATATTTACTCATCTATGGATTCCGATCCAGAAGATAAGTAAGAGAATATTGGATTGGGTTGGGTTTGAGTTGTACTTGAGTCGCCCCCCACCTCGATCTCAAATCAGACTCAGATCAGCTGTTCTGTAGAACTAAAAAAATGTCTTAGACCGCAACGATGCACTCCAACAGAGTGGGGTCTGAGCAAAAAGAAGAGAAACCTCGCATTACCCAACTCAGATTCGGATTAATCGGGCCCTTACGGATCGAACCGGATCGGTTCATTAGCGATCAGTGCGATTGGTGCTGGCGGGGGGGCAGACCATCGTCAACCGTTACCAGCGTCAACCGCCAACCACCAGCCACCAACCACCAACAGTCGAGAGTGAAGAGCTAAGAGTGGGGACGGGCTGGGGCCGGGGCTGGGGCAGCCATCAGCATTAATATTTCATGTTTTTCCGTTGCTTAAATCATGTTAGATTTATTTTGTGCTGGTTTCAGCTGCCGTCGCTTGCGTTGCGCAACCACTGCCAAGAGCCAACTTGTTCTGGCCCGGGCCCCGGGCCCCAGGCTGCGGCTTGCAACTTGGCTAGAGCACCGTTGGTTCTAACGTGAAATGTGTGCCTCACCGTTGTGCCCCGATCGAGGCTGGTTCTTCTTGTGGTTTGTTGTTGCTGTTGTTGTCTATGCCGATGCCGATGCCGATGCCGATGCCAACCTGTTTTCCTCCATCGTCATTGTGCAGAACTCTCCGAAAAAGTCCCGTAAGAAAGTCCCAGTTATTCAAGAGGAAAAACCTGTTACACGCAACTGGCTCAAAGCTGATTGCTTTGCTGCTGCCAAGAACAGAACATAGCAGCAGAATCGAAAAGCCTCAGAACGGCAGCGGCAGCAGCAGCAGCGGCAGCAACAGCAACAGCAAGCCCCACAAACAAACACGTTAGTACCGTTGTTTCGGATTCTTTGTTGCGCAACTGTGTTGCAAGATTAGCTGCGACTCCGACACTGCCCCCGCCCCCGCCACCGCCACCGCCACTGCCAACTACTGGTTTATTGCAGCGCTGCTGTCGATGAGGCAACAGTGGCTCATTGTAGTTGTTGCTGTTGCTGTTGTTGCGCCAGCAGCCGCTCAGCGCCTTGAAGATGTTGTAAAATCTTTTGGCTAGAATCGGAAATCCACCAGAAACGGAGACGCGGACGGGGATGGGGACGGGGACGGGGATGGGGATGGGGACGGAACCATTGCATGTCTTGAAGCTCGACTGCTTATTCCATCCATCTGTTCGCGGCTATTGAAAGCCGTTGCCTTTTATGATCAATTAATTGTTGTTGCTCTTTTAATGATTTCATTAGACCATCGACTATGCTATAGCCCTGCAAGGTTGATCGTCGGGGGGGGGCGTAATATCACCAGAAATATTTTGATTGCCAGCGAAACTTTTATGTTATTTTGTTTTCACCTTTAAATTGATTGCGAAGTCGATTAAGTTATTTCATTCGTTTGATATACGTTATATAAAGATGAGACCCCACTAACACAAAGACAATTCATTTATAAAATCTTGAAAATAAAACCATCTGTTGGACATTGTTGGAGGAACGGCATGATGTAAGGATCTTGTGCAGAGAGATCTAATCTCCATAAGATCTACTCTCTTAAGCTTAAGCTCTCCGTGCGAGGTAGATAACCTCGGATGGCAACTTTTTGTGGTAAACCTACTGACATATCCATCCATATTCAGCTACAGCTACTCTATTTAGAATCTTCAGACAATCAGAATAATTAATAGTAGGAAATTATCCGTTTCTCCGATCCCAATGCCGTAGAAATCCGTGTATTCGGACATGTGACTCACCTCTGATAGTGCTTGGCATGTTATCCAGATTCACGGATCTCATAAATGGGTGTATAAAGAGTGTTCCCCGTAGGGCAGAGTCCCGGTCACCCGATCAGAGTCGAAGCCTTGATCCCTTCACGCAACAAGATCATTGGCTGGAGAAGAATCATAGTGGACCGGGCAGGGGACGAGTCCTGAGTCCGTGTCCGCTATAGCTGCCACTTAGCTAGCTCCGGGCAGAAATAGATGACGACACAAAACGTATTTCAAACGGTAAAACGGGCCAGCGAAGGCGATGAGGATGATGTCGACGGCGGGCGGAGGGAGTCGCGCGCGAAACTCAACGAATCGGATCAGGAAGAAGGCCGAACGATCTGCGCTGGCTGGAAGTGAGACGAGGGGAAGAGCCGATGAGCCAGCTTCCAGCTTTCGAGCAACCAAATGTACTGGACTGGACGTGGGGACACACGATTGCACACTAAATGGCAGAAGACCAAGGCGAAGACCCGTTGCATCTGGCCTGATCATCATCTTCTGCGGTGGAGTCGGAGTCCGAGTCATCCCCGACGGGAACGGGAACGGGAAACTGTGTGCAAGTGTGCGAAAATCGGTGTACGAAGACGGTTTGAGCCGAGAAAGGAGAAAGGAGCTGTAATAGCTCCCACCTACCACCACCACACAGACAGACAGACAAACACACACACACGCACACCTGAAAGAAGGGGAAACAAAAAAGAATCAAAATTCCTGCTAATTAAATGCGTGATCATTGCTCGAAAATATCCACTCAGCAACCAAAAAAGTACAAAAGATGAAACATTCATACAAATCTTTGTATGTACATAAAATACTTGTAAGAAAGAGTCATGCGTGCATTTCATCAGAGATCAGAAATGTCCGAGAGTCAGAGACCTGAGAGCCGTGACGTCGCGCTGCTTTGGGGCCCGTCGTGGCGGCGCTGGAGCTTTCTCAGTTGCACCTTTAATCGCTGAATAAACAGGAAGACTTCTACGGCAAACAGCACTCACACACACACATTCACGCCCGCTAGAGAGGGAGAGACATAAAACAGGTTGAGAAGTACCGCTAAGCGGGAAGAAGAAGAAGAAGTCCACTTGGTGCACGGCAGAGCAGAGGAGAGAAGAGGAGAGAGCCCCAGAACT